CTCGGTAGTTGGGAACCTTTTAGGACAGGGTTTGCAGTTCGTCGTTTGGCGCGGGGATCCGAACTGGGCTAAACCCCATTCTCTTCTCTCCGTCTACTCCCAAATCTGGCTAAGGCTGATGTTCAGCACAGTGACTAACCGTCTATGGAGTTGCCATCTAACAGTGTCCTATGCAGATGACGGCAATAATAAATCGAGTCTAAATTCCGACGATAAAGGCCTAAGCGGCCGTTTCTTTGTAGTGGACAGACACCTGGAGTCTATAGAAGATGCAATCACTGGAACATGAAGTTTATTTTCATGACACGGATGACCGAACACGCGCTAGCACTGAGGAGGAAGGACGATAACTCTAAGGTCGAAGGTCGTACTAGAGTACCGGGTCACACTCTTAAATTTGACGAGGCCAACATGCTCCAAAAGGCTAAAAAAGGAGTATGCCTCACACAGCTTCGGACTTGGTTCTCCGGTCAGCAGTTGAAGTAGTAGGCGCAGTGGTCTCCCAGCTCCGTATTCTGCGCCAAGACTTTGCTCAGGCAAAATGATTAGTCACGTGAGGAAGGGGCCCATCTGGCGAGTTATTATAACGCCAAGAACAAAAATTAATGATGAAATTCCAACAATAAACGTCTCGGACTAGGACCAAAGAGTCATCATCGCATCATGTACGACCACCAAGTTATGAACTTGAAATCGGCTAATTGGACTTGGCACCTGATGGCATAAAATACTGTCCTAAAAATACTGCATCATTTGCGCCTTTATCACCCTAACCTGCGAATGTCTCTGATGAGGAATTCGAACTAGGAGCCGAAACGCCAGAGCAGTAAACTACATGCGCTTTTGCTTCTTTTTTCAAATTTTGGTTAATACTAACGGCGTCCTGCTAGAGGGTCCCCTAATGGCAACCAGACAGACACCTGAGTGCGTTGACGCCAAGCAAGAAACAGCATCGCAAGCAGCAATCCACAGCGATTTCAAACTGCATATTCTCTCCTCCTCCGCCCTTTGGAAGAAAAGACTCCCAGCGATCGGCAGTCCTGCCTGCTTTGACCACTCCATTTTAGCGGTGGGCAAACAGACCGTCGCATGCAGCTTGTCGGTAAAAGTTCCTTCCGTTCTCGTAAAGGACGATGCTTGAGAAATTCAGAAGAAGATTCAAGTGCACCGAATTTCAGCCCCACTCAATTTGCGCTAAGGCTGCCCAAGAGATACCTGAAGATCAATGACTTGAGATATTCCCCGTCGACTGACAATTCGTATAGTGTCGCAGTCGACATCGCAAACCGGCCTCAGAGAAAAAATTAAGATATAAAGAACTACCAATAATTTAACTCACCACCGTAAGGAGTCTCCTCCAATTGCTCGCTAGCCACAGGAAGGTACATCTAAAGTTCGCTTATAGGAAAATCACCCAAGTCGACTGAACAGAGGAGGTGGCTTTCTCCCAGTGAAGGTTCAAGAAACATTAGCGCGCAAATCAACCCCCGAAATACTCTTTCCCGGCAAATAAGCTAGCTAATACCGAAGGGTCAATTCGATTCTGTAGACAATTAAGCTTTCTATATGTTGGAAAAACGTCAAACGGCAAAATACATCGATCGTCCTATGGAGAGTGTCAGGTTACAATGGTAGCAATCAGGAATACTCTAAGTCGCATGGGAGCAAAGTCTGTGGCTCGGTGCAGGAAAGACTGTGGCAGTCTGTGTGCACGCTTGCCACTATCAAGTCTTCCTCTTTGTCTCACAATCCTGGTCGATTTGCTGCTGGAGCCCACCACGTCCTCGCATCAGCCAATCAAAATTCCTCATTTACTGATAGGCATCCATGAGCATGCAAATCTAAGACTAAAAAGAACAAGTGCCACCTAGTCATAACTGGTAATGCAGGCTTCGTTACGCTCCTTTTTCCAGAAAGCAAGCTGGTCCAACTTCTTCTGTCTCCCCTGACTTCTGATTTTAAAAAAATCGTGTTGTCCAGCATACTACCTCGACCAGTGGTGACCCCGCAGTAACACCTACTCTACCTGCGACATCCACCTCTCCGGGAAAACTGGAGAAGGATAAAAAGAAGGAAAACCGTTGGCATTGGCAGTAAAAATTAAAATTGACAGTCAATAAGGTAATAAAATACGAACCGGAGACGAACCAGCCTTTCCAATGGATAACCGAGAGGAAAATGGAACCGGATCGGCATCTCTACTGCGACGCCTTCTTGTGCGGTAACCTGGCAGACATATTCTCCGTTCTGTCCAAGAGCACGATACTTGAGAGTGAGGACAGAACGGTAACAATGGTTCCCAATGCCATAGAAATCGTCATATTGGTTGGTTCCACGGAGACCGTCTATTAGCTCTGGTGGACAGGAGAATTCTTCTGTGGAAATTTCGTGCTAGGTAATTGTAAAAAAAGAAATAGTATCCTAGTAAGAGGAACGGCATCCAGATGCATATAGCACTGAGATAAAAAAAGGCATCTAGAGTATATGAGGCTTTCGCCAAACCATTCTATTTCGGCAGATGTGAGGAACAGTCTACACGCCCAGGGTATATTCAGTGACTAGGACTCAGCCGGTTGTTTTTCTGTCCATTCTATGAATAAGTCTACGATCGATCTTCTAATAAAGGATCACAACGGCATCTGTGAACTGAGGAGTCCTCAAGAGGC